TGATGCTAGTTCTACCCAGCAAGTTAGTAACAGGGACAGAACTTGGCCCCCACACCCCTAACTTGCTGGGTTATCTTGAACTAGTTATTTGTCATCTCCTCTTACCTCCCCCAAGCCTGCTCCTCTTTCATTAGTGCCTCAGTGAATGGCATCTATGGTAGGCTGAGTTACGGCCCCCAAAGATCTCAGGACCCAATCTCTGGAATGTGTAAGTGTTGTTTCATTACTCGGAAAAATCGTCTTTGCAAATGTGATTAATTTTTCTGTTGAACTCTTGGCTTATCATCAACAATCAGATAAAAATAATTCCTTTTTGTTCTGGAGCAGAGTTCTTCAGACCAATTATTCTTACTGCCCCTATTACATAAAGATGATTTGCTATAGTTGGCTTTAAGGTTATTCTGTGTTCCTTACACATGTTCCCCCCAAAGAGCAGGTCAGAAGGAAATTAACCTGGACTTAAAATGTGCTCGCAGGTAACAAGGCAGTTTGCTAAGAGGTGACTATAGTTCAATCTAAATTTACCAGGAAAGTGGCATTATTAGCAAATACCATTCTCTCTGACAGACTGCCCACACAGCTCCATTTCAACCTCCTGTTGTCAAAGTGAAGAGCACCCACGCCTATTGATTCATGTCTTAAGTGTCTCTATTTTTCTCTCACTCTCACTGGAAAAGACCTACATTTAACTTTAGATCTCCTTAATGTGTTTTCAGGTTGGCTATATTGAAAAAAATTCCAAATATAGGGGCACCTGGCTGGCTCAGTCAGTACAGCATGTGGCTCTTGATCTTGGGGTCGTGAGTTCAAGTGTCATGCTGGGCCTAGAGCTAACTTAAAAAATAAAAAAGAATCCAAATAGAAAAATCATGGATGAACAATTCCTAAGATTAAAGCAAACTCAGTTTTACGATAAGCTATGAACTCACTGTATTTGCTTACTCTGAGCATTAACACTTTTGCCTTTTTTACAAATTACGTGTTAGGACAATATAAACATTGTTTTTACATGTATTACTTGAAGGACTTTTTACAAATTAAGTTCCCCTGAGGATCTTAAAAAACCTTTTACAAGATATATGTGTATTCTACCTTCTAAGCTGATAATGATGTCCAGATTATCAAGGATATTTAAATGAAAATAAAATATTGGAGAGTTTAAATGCTAATCTTTAAAAATATCCTAGGTGGGGGGTGCTGGGGGCGGGGCTCAGGCAGTAAGCGTCCAACTCTTGATTTCAGCTCTGGTCATGATCTCAGGGTCGTGAGATCAAGCCCTGTGGTGGGCTCCGTGCTCAGCAAGAAGTCTGCTTATGGATTCTCTCCTTCTGCCTCTCCTCCATTCTCTCTCTGTCTCTCTCAAATAAATACATAAATCTTAAAAAAAAATATCCTAGGTGGGGTGCCTGGCCAGCTCAGTTGGTGGAGCATGCAACTCTTGATCTTGAGGTTGTGAGTTCAAGCGTCATGAGATTACTTAAAAAAGAAATCTCTGAAAAAAAAATCCTAGGTGAATTGTACACTAACGTTCCTAGCAAATTATTTACAATAACCAACAGATAAATGGATAAATAAGATGTAATCTATCCATGCAATGGAATATTATTCACCCCTAAAAAAGAAGGACATTCTGACACCTGCTACAACATGGATGAACTTTCAGGACATTCTGCTCAGTGAAATAAGCCAGTCACAAAACTTAAACTTACTATATGATCCTACTTTTATGAAGTTCCTAGAGACAGAAATTAGAGACAGAAAGTAGAATGGTGGGTGCCCAGGGCAGGGAGGAGGGGGAATGAGGAGTTTGTGTTTAATGGGTACAGAGTTTGAGTTTGGGATGATAAAAACATTCTGGAGATGGATGGTGGTGATGGGTGCCCAAATGCTGTGAATGCACGGAACGCCATAGAACTGTACACTTAAAAATGGTTAAAATGGTAAATTTTATGTTATGTATATTTTACACCAAGTTTAAAAAGAGTAACAGGATTGTTAAATTCAAAACTTGTCCTGGGAACCCTCTTGCACTGTTGGTGGGAATGTGAACTGGTGCAGCCATTCTGGAAAACTGTGTAGAGGTTCCTCAAAGAGTTAAAAATAGACCTGCCCTACGACCCAGCAATTGCACTGCTGGGGATTTACCCCAAAGATTCAGATGCAATGAAACGCCAGGACACCTGCACCCCGATGTTTCTGGCAGCAATGTCCACAATAGCCAAACTGTGGAAGGAGCCTCGGTGTCCAACAAAAGATGAATGGATAAAGAAGATGTGGTTTATGTATACAGTGGAATATTACTCAGCCATTAGAAACGACAAATACCCACCATTTGCTTCAACGTGGATGGAACTGGAGGGTATTATGCTGAATGAAATAAGTCAATTGGAGAAGGACAAACATTATATGGTCTTTCATTTGGGGAATATAAAAAATAGTGAAAGGGAATAAAGGGGAAAGGAGAAAAAATAAGTGGGAAATATCAGAAAGGGAGACAGAACATGAAAGACTCCTAACTCTGGGAAATGAATTAGGGGTGGTGGAAGGGGAGGTGGGCGGGGGGTGGGGGTGACTGGGTGGTGGGCACTGAGGTGGGCACTTGACAGGATGAGCACTGGGTATTACTCTGTTTGTTGACAAATTGAACACCAATAAAAAAATAAATTTATTAAAAAAAAAAAACAAAAAACAAAAAACAAAACTTGTCCTGGGCACCTGGTGGCTCAGTGGTTGAGCATCTGCCTTCGACTCAGGTCATGATCTTGGGGTCCTGGGATCGAGTCCTGCATAGGGCTCCCCATAGGGAGCCTACTTCTCCTTCTGTCTATGTCTTTGCCTCTCTTTGTGTTCTCTTATGAATAAAATAAAATCTTAAAAAAAAACAATAAACTTGTCCTAAGTGATCAAGTAAACCTTATAGTTTTTTTTTTTAAGATTTTATTTATTCATAAGAGACACAGAGAGAGAGGCAGAGACACAGGCAGAGGGAGAAGCAGGCTCCATGCAGGGAGCCCAATGTGGGACTTGATCCCAGGTCTCCAGGATCACACCCTGGACTGAAGGTGGCGCTACACTGCTGAGCCACCCGGGCTGCCCACCTTGTAGGTTTATAATGAGAATATTATATCTCTTACTATTTTAACAGGGGTAATATTTGAGAATATTCACCTATTGCTATATTCTCGATTCTCCTGAAAATCCTATTTTTCTCCCAGGAAGCTGAGGGTTGAGAATGGATCAGATAGGCCAACTGTGGCAAGGAGTACAGTGATCCTGCCATATAGATCCACAAAAATCTGGCCTGTTTGGAGAACACAGCTGGCTCTCAGAGATGTGCAGGGCCAGGCCCAGCCAGGATGGGGCCAAGCCAGCCTGGGACCCCTGGTTCCATGGGGGAAAACCCATGCCAGGGGCTGTACCAAGCTTGGATTTGAAGGAGGTGGCCAGTAGGGTGGCCACTGACAACTTGACGGAAGTTAAAAAGGGAACGAGAGGACCTGCCCTTGGAACAGCTGCCCCAATCAAAGCACAAACTCTGTCCAGGCACCCTGACACCATCTTGGGGAAAAGGAAGGTGAGGAAGTAGACCGTAACCTTATCCCAGAGACTGAACTAACTTGGAAACTTTTAAATTTGCAAGAGATGGAAAAACAGTTGATTCTCACTACTCACAGTCCTTATATTCTGTAAAGTTGTCATGCGCACTGGATGAGAGAATGCCAAACCATGGCTTCTGGGGAAACGCAGGGTTAAGTTCCTGTGCGCCTCTGATCACATTTTCATCAACCATCAATATGCAACCTTGTTTTATGGAAGCTTATTTAAAGACACCTTGTTTAATATACTATGTTGATTCATTGACATTGAACTCCCAGCCAACCACACTAGAATTCATGCTGAAATGAGGCTTATCGAAAGCACTAATTTTCTCCATATGGCACATCCCAGCCTTTTTGCACTTAGGAATACTAGCCAGAGCTTCAGCACCATGTTTGGGGGTCATTGTAAACAGCGAAACCACTAACAAAAGCACAGAAATGTGAAAATATGTCACTAGACTGTGACAGGGGCACTTATGTATAGTATGAGAGCTGAGACAAGAAAGCAGAGTGTAGTCTTGTTCAGTCTTGGCTGAAAACATTCATGACCAGTGATTCACATTTTTTGCCACTCTGAGTAACTGTGGAAGTGCTGTGAGTATTGATCTGGGGGTTGCGAATCAGTTTTAGCCAGTAGGCAAATCTGCAAACACAGAACCATGAAGGAGGATCAATTATACTTTTATTTGGCATCAGATGTGGTCTAGGTTCCCTCACTATCTAGCATCACTATGCTTAAATGTATGAGATTTAAGCCAATTATAGAAAATGGACGAATCTAGGCGTGCCTGACTGGCTCAGTTGGTTAAGTGTCTGCCTTTGGCTCAGGTCATGATCCAGGGGTCCTGGGACTGAGCCCCACATCAGGCTCTCTGCTCAGGCTCCCTGCTCCTGCTGAGCCTGCTTCTTAGTCTCCTTGACCCTGCCGCTCCCCCTGTTTGTGCTCTCTCCCTCTGTCAAATAAATAAACAAAATCTTAAAAAAAAAAAAAAAGGAAGAATCTATCATTTTTTCCCCATATCTAAAGTGTAGGGGGCAGCCCCAGTGGTACAGTGGTTTAGCGCCGCCTGCAGCCCAGGGCATGATCTTGGAGACCCTGGATCGAGTCCCACGTCAGGCTCTCTGCATGGTGCCTGCTTCTGTCCCTGCCTCTCTCTCTCTCTGTGTGTGTCTCTATAAATAAATAAAATCTTAAAAAAATAAATAAATAAAAATAAAGTGTAGGGCTTAAGTTTTTGACTGTACCTCACTGTTATTTAGAGGAACAGAATGGCAACTTTGTGAGGGTGAAGATTTTTATCTGTTTTGTCCATGCTGTATATCACCAATAGCCAGAGCAGTGTAGCACAAGTCAATATTTGTTGAGTGAACCAAGGAATGAAAATCACATTCAAACCAATACACATGAATTAAACTGCTGTATCATTTGGTTCTGACAGTTACAATTCCACAATTTTTATCACTTGACATATATGAAGAGGAAAGAAAAACAGCTCAGTTTTCCAGCTCGTGGAGAGGTTTGAGGCAAAGGAATCAGAATTCAATAATAGGATTTTCTCAACTGAACTTAGGACAGAGGACAAATGGTATGAGTCAACTCCCTGGCTGACTGGTACCTTAGAGCAGATAAGGAAAATCTCTTCTACGGCCACAGGGAGAAGAAAATATCAGTAGCTGGGTAAGATTCCAGGTCTGCCCTGGGAAAACAGCTGACCTTATTTGTGAGGTGAAAGAATCAGAATGAAGGCTGCTTAGGTGATAATTGACATTTCCTCCCGGTCTCTGCTTTCAGACACTGAGTTGATTATGCTTTTTAAATACTTTATGAACTCCAACCTGATGTCTTCAGGGTCATCCTCAAGATTCGAGTGCACCAGCTTCAGCTTGTTCAAGGGGGTTGCTTGAAAAGGAAAATAATGTAATTAGGCGTGAACTTTTAACGAGGGGCCGTTTCTAGCTCCCAGTGACCTGAATCTTACTGAAGCCCATTTGCTTAACTTTCTAAAGGCCAAAAATAAAGTTGTGTCTTGCTTGACATGATTTAACAGATAAAGGTTTTATCACATGCCACTGCCGATGCACTTAGCATAGTGCTTGGCATTCAGTAGGTGCTCAATAAAGAGTGCTACCACACTGGCACCTGTTGATGGAATAACAACTCTACAAGCTATTTCCAGGTCCTCTTATGCCAGAAAGGAAAGATTTCTGCATATCATGAGCTGTTTTCCATGAGCACCTTGAACCCTCTAAGGGTGTGTGTCATGTGCTAATTGGGAATTTTTCTTGAGATAAGACCAGTCAGGAAAGAATGTCCCTAAAAGGACTGATGAGCAGCTAAAACCAGGTTTTTTCCATCTTGGTGTCTGCCTGCTTTTTTTTTTTTTTTTAAAGATTTTATTTATTTATTCATGACAGAGAGAGGCAGGCTCCACGCAAAGAGCCCAATGTGGGAGTTGATCCTGGGACTCCGGGATCACACCCTGAGCCAAAGCAGACACTCAACCACTGAGCCACCCAGGTGTCCTATGTGTCTGCCTGCTTTTAAAGTCTCTCTGTCCTGGCCTGGATGCTATACCAGACCTTCCAACCTGGTGATTCCCAATTTACATAGCAGGAAGAACAAATGTCAAGGACACAGTAGGTGCTCAATAACTGCACATCGCCGCTGGTTTCAAAGACACAGAACAATATACAAATGCCCAGGCCACTCAAGACAAGAGCAGAAGGGAGAAATGGCGGTCTCCTTACGCAAAGACGGGTTTCCTTTATCACTTCCAGAGCCTGGTTTGTGGTGTGCAATCAACAGACACTGAGTGTCCTGTAAAAACTGCTGCTGGACGAAGCAGGAATACCACATCTCGATCTCCTTCAGGTGGCTTGGGATGTCAGCATTGAAGACGATCACTACTCCGTGTGAGTCCTTCATCAGAGCCGGCCAGCAAGACTCGAACCTACAAGGCAGAAAAGGAGACCTGGTGAATGTCAGGTGGTAGCTCTGGTTTAAAAATAATGTCTTCGTGTTAACTGATGGGTGGCTTGTCATTGTGTCATGACCCAATCATTAAAGTTCCAAGGGCAATGCATGTCACCAAATAATTGATCATGCCCCTAATACATGCTAGGAAGTGTGCTGGGCCAGAGTCCAAGGTGGTTGGTGGGCAGCTGAGTCTTGAATCACTTGATGAAGCCAACCCTCTTTAAAGGAAACGTACTTTGGATCACCGCCACAATCCCATAGCTCAAATTCGCACCCCGTGCCTTTGGTGTTGCTGGTAATGTGTGGGTTCTCAAATTCCAGGATCCTAGAAAGAAAAACAACAGTAGCATCTCCACTTTGGAAACATTATACTTTGGGAATGCCACCACCACCAAAAGTTGGGGTTGGGCCTCTCTGGGAAACCAATTTGTCAGGGCTCACCTCACTCCTTGGGTTGGGTTGTATTCGGTGATGTCAGAAGATTCTGTCAGGAAGTTGGCCAAAACGGTTTTTCCACTCTGTGGGAATGAAGATAATGAAGGGTCTTTGCTGAAGAGCAGAAAAGTAAACCATAAGCAAGCCCTCCAATCGCTGGCTTGGAACTGGGTGTGATGGAGTGTGGGCCGTGGCCGCCCTGAGATCACCAAGGCAGAGGGTTCTCTGTGGCTGGGTGGACTTTGCTGCCTTATTATATGTGGTGGGCACAGCCTGGCCTGGGATGCATGGGGTTCTGATGCTGGCTCTGTCGCTGCTTGACCTTACAACCTACACTGATTTCTTTGGCTGCCTCTCAGTCAACTTACCTGAGAACAGAAAAGAATTGTTAGTGTGAGTCTCTCTCCTGTCATGTTCCTTTCCACATCAAGAAACCAGTCTGTCACAGATATAAAGCCACTGAGGCCCAGAAAGGGGAAGGGAGTTCCTCAAGGTCACACAGAAGTTCAAGGTCAGAGCTAGGTCCTACAGTGACTGGCCATGCCACACTCTCACACAGGGCTGTTTCTCCTCGATAATACAAGTCATACACAGTCCTCTTAAAAAAAATAGCCCTCCTGGTCCTCCACCTAAAGTAGCCATCTGTCCATCCAGTCCAGTCTCTTCCCAAAAGTGGTAACTTGTATGTTTTCAGATATTTTCTGTACATTCGCATCATTCATTTAGCAAATATTGTACAAACTTGGATATAAGGCATTTTTTTCTCTGCAAATTATTCCTCAGAAGAAAGGGAATCTCTTACACTTGAGTTCTTAAGAATCTCTGAAATTATGCCCTGCTCTCTTGAGTACTTTATTTTGAACAACTGTTTGACTAGAGTCATTTCAATTAATGCCAGTTTTGGAGGCTTGTAGAATCAGGCTTGTAGAATGGCTTTAGTAATTTTTGCTGAGCATGTGGCCTCACAAATTAAATGTCACTTAAAAACAACACAGCTGGGACGCCTGGGTGGCTCAGTGGTTGGGCATCTGCCTTTGGCTCAGGGCATGATCCTGGGTTCCCGGGATTGGGTCCCGCGTCGGGCTCCCTGCATGGAGCCTGCTTCTCCTTCTGCCTGTGTCCCTGCCTCTCTCTCTCTCTCTCTGTGTCTCTCATGAATAAATAAAATCCTTAAAAAAATAACAAAATAAAAACAACACAGATGAGCGGCACCTGGGTGGTTCAGTGGTTGAGCATCTGCCTTTGGCTCAGGTTGTGATCCCGGGGTCTTGGGATTGAGTCCCACTCCAGACTCCCTGTAGGGAGCCTGCTTCTTCTGCTGCTTATGGCTCTGCCTCTCTCTCTCTCTCTGTGTCTCTAATAAATAAATAAAGTCTTAAAAAACCCAAAAAACAAAACACAGTTGAGGGGCATCTGGGTGGCTCAGTCAGTTAAGCCTCTGCCTTCAGTTTGGGTCAAGATCCCAGGGTCCTGGAATTGAGCCCTGCATTGGGCTCCCTCCTAAGCTGTTAACTGGGGAGACTGCTTCTCCCTCTCCCTTTGCCCCTGCTCCTGTGCTCTCTCTCAAATTCTTATTCTCTCGAATAAAATCTTAAAAAAAAAATGAAACACAGCTGAGTGGTTGTTCGTGGAGATCATGAATATTTATCTATAGGATTAACAAATAAAGCAAATGGCCTGATATTATAGGAATGGCTCTTTGGGCTGGAATACATTTCTAGGAACAGGGTCATACACGGCTTCAAAAAGGACTTATATCCTAAACTGCTCAGAATGGTGTGCAGTTGTTGTGTGTGGGTTGTTTTTTTTAAGTTTATTTATTTAAGTACTCTCTACACACAATGTGGGGCTCAAACTCATGACCCTGAGATCAAGAGTCACACACTCTTCTGACTGAGCCAGCCAGGCACCGCGTCATGTGGTTGAAAAGTGGCTTTGGTCATAAGATCCACTCGGGTGTCAAAGGTCCAGGTAAGGAGCTTGCATTGTAAAGCTGTGTCATGAAATGCAAATATGGAATAAAACAGTATTTCCAAATTAATATATATCTTTAACATACCTTTAAATGTATATGTCACTCCAGGAATACATAAAACCTTGTAAAAGTATATTTATGTATTTCATGTAGGTCCTTAAAGTCTCTACATACGTGTTGGTCAAAACCAATTGATTGAGGAGAAGGGTTCTTCCAGGAAAATGAAGAAAGTATTAGGCACATAAGGTATTTTTAAGTGCCTAGCTTGCCAGGTACTGCTGAACCCAAGATGTAGTGCTAAGCACGGGGATAAAATCAAGCAGGATAATGCCACAGGGACTTTGAGCTGAGTGATCAGGTGATGAAGGCTGAAAGGGTGAAGTTTAAACCAAGATTTGGGATGACAAGGAGTCACCTGAGCCTTCCAAGCAGAGAGGATAACTAGTTGGATGGCACCAGGCCAGGAAAGGGCATATGTTAAAAGGAATGGAAAGGCTGGCCAATCTGCAGAGCACTGAGGTAGAGAGAGAGTGTATGTGGAAATATATCCTGGTTGTTGAAGCTAGTTGATGAGTACTAGGAGTTCCTTATTTTTTTTCTCTCTTTGTATGTTTGAGAATTTCCATTAAAAAAAAAAAGAAAATATCTATGGTTTACTTTTCATAATTCTGTGCATACTGTTATTACTTGTCTATTTCACTTAGTAGTTTATGTCTCAGCGAGTTCTCCACGTCATCACTTCACACGGATGTGCCTCCTTTTGGGTAACTGCTGGAGTCTTCCCCAGTAAACCACATCCCTTAGTTTACTTAGATGTTCTCTTACTGATGGGCACCTAGCGTGTTTCCAACTGTTTCATATCGTACATGGCCTCTGGAGAACATAGGTAAGTTCCAGCTACTAAAGATTTTGAGAAATGTAAGTGCTGCACTAAAAGCTATGCATGTTTTATTTTTATTTTTTAAAATATCACTAAAGTCAGATGCATTTTATTTATTTTCTTGACACAGAGAGAGAGAGACTGAGAGAGAGCATAGGTGGGAGGGAGAAGCAGGCTCCCCCATGAGAAGAGTGTCTGACGTGGGGCTCGATTCTATGACCCTGAGATCGTGACCTGAGCTGAAGGCAGCCGCTTAAACCACTGAACTACCCTGCCCCGCTATGTATGTTTTAAAGTTTAACATTTGGATTGCCGATAAAGCTGTTAGCAATTTATAGTCCCATTGACAGAATCCTGAAATACTCCTTTCCCTAGAAGCATCCTCATGCTTCATGGTATCAGTGTTCTAACCCTTTTTTATTCAATCTGATGGGCAAATAAAGCATCATCTTCTTGTTTAATTCGTGTTCCTGTTGACTCTGAGGCTGAACATCCTCTTATACTTCTTGGCCAGTTGTGCTTGTGTGCAGGGACTTCCCCTGTGCATTCTACCTGTTAATCCTTTCTTTGTAATGTTATTTTGCAGATACTTTCCCCAGGCTTACTTTCCCTGTCATTTTTTTCAAGGCTTCTTCATTTTTGTGTTGTGCTTGGAGACGACCTTCCGTATCTCAAGCTGAATAACAATCTCTCGCCATATATGCATCTGATTACAGTGGTCCTTAACACGTGGTCCCTAGACGAACAGCATCAGTAAAGGCAGATTCTCGGATCCCTCTCAGACCTACTGAATCAAAACCCTGGGGGCAGGACTGGCATATTGTGTTTTGAACAAGCCCTCCAGGCAATTGGGCTGTGTGCTGAAGATGGAGAAGATTCACTATTTCCACGGTAGTTGTTTCATACATTTAGCTTTGGTCCCTGGGAATATTATTCCTGCGTACGCTGTGAAGTCCACACGTAGATCTAATACCCCCATTCCCATCCCCACCCCCATCCCCGACACTATGAGCCAACCATTCAAAGACCTGGTCATGGTCGGTCTTTTCCTGTCTGCTTTCCTTGTCCGGGCATGATCATTAGGGCCAACCTCAGGGGCAAAGGAGAGTCGTGGGACCTAGACTCGGGTTCCAAAACGCCACTCACGACTCTCAGGACTTACGAAAACGGGGTCAAGGTCTGGGGGCGCCGAGTGCACGCTGAGGCCAGCGGCGCACCCCGGGGTGGGCGCGGTGGGACAGGTTTCCCGCCTCCTCGGGGGCTCCCGGCGCAAGGCACGGTCCAGGGTCGCCCCGCAGCAGCCCAGGCCCCGCCCGCCGCCCCCGCCGGCCGGGCCTCACCTCGCAGGGCCCCACGAAGAGGATCTTGGCCTTCAGCATCGCGGTCGGACGACCGCAGGCCCGCGGGAACCCACCGCGGCGCAGAGGAGCGGAAGCCGCCCAGCCGATTGGCCGTCTTCGTTTCCAGGGCAACGGGAGCGGCCCGCGGGGGCCGATGGGAGTGGGCGGGGCCGCGACGCGCAGGACTAAGAGCGGAGGAGTGCGTGCCCTGGCTCTCAGCTGCGCAGGCGCCCCAGGCCGGGCTGCTTGGGCTTGGGGCAGGGAGTGGGCGTGCCAGGCCTAGGGGGACGGCGGGAGGGAAGCCAAAAACTCGGGTCTTGACTCGCTTCTGAGCTGAGAGTACCCCAGAGTTCCCACGTGCCGCCCCTCCTTCTGTGTGTTGAGGGGCTGATTGCAGGTTCCTGACCTGTGTTCTTCCCTGTAACCCGGAGAACTCAGACTGGCCATGCAGCTGGTGAGCTGGGTTTGGGAGCAGGCCTTCTGACGCCCTCATCACTCCGGCATGATACCGTCCACCTTGTGATCGGGCTTGTCATGGCCCCGCTCTAACCTAGAAAAAAGGCCAGAGGAAAAAAAAAAACGCGTCTCTGGTCTCTGAATGGGTTCACCCCTGATTGTGCTTTGGGTGATCCGGGAGTAGCCAAAAGGACAATGCCCGGGCATAGTTAGGTCAGTATCCTTGCAGATGTCTGGACGCTTCGCTGCAAAATTCAGTCAGTAGGTCAGCCTTCAATTGTGGAGTTGGCCCGGAATTTCGGGGGAGGCCATGAAATTAAGTGTCCAGACAAAATTTGCTAGGCCCCTGAAGTGCTAGTATGATAAAAAATACCAAAATAGGGATCCCTGGGTGGCGCAGCGGTTTAGTGCCTGCCTTTGGCCCAGGGCACGATCCTGGAGACCCAGAATCGAATCCCACGTCGGGCTCCCGGTGCATGGAGCCTGCTTCTCCCTCTGCCTGTGTCTCTGCCTCTCTCTCTCTCTCTCTCTGACTATCATAAATAAATAAATAAATAAATAAATAAATAAATAAATAAATAAATAAATAAAAAATAAATTAATTAAATAAATAAATAAAAATAAAATAAAAAACAAAATAAACCCAAAGCCGTGTCTTTAACTTTTAGTGGTATAGTTATATAGTCTTCATATTATAAAGAACTGCTGAATGAAGTGTAAGGAAGAGTCTACCTCAATTTCAAGATGTCATGAATTGACTGATTGATTGACTGAATGCCTACTTTATACCAGGCACTCTTCCAGGTACGGGGCATGTGTCTGTACCTCTGGAAGCTTTCATTTCAGTGGTGCGGTGGACATGAACTAGGCAAGAAAATAAAATACCTACTCTCAGGCAGAGATTATTTTTGTTAGTGGTAAGTGCTACGAATAAAGATAAATTACTAAAGAGTTAAGAAATGTGAAGGAACCAATTTTGGAATAGTCAAAGCACGACCTTGGCACAGAGGTGACATTAAAGCAAAAAGCTGAGTGAAGAGAGGGCTCAAGCAAACTGTGTGAAAGATCTTGGGGAAGAGCATGCCAACAGAACAGCAAGGGCAAAGATGATGAGGCAGAAATAAACTTGACATGTACCAAGAACAGCCCAGAGAGTCCATGAGGCTGGTGCAGGAAGAATAAGGGAGCATGGTAGGGTATGCTGTTGGAGAGTTCATGTAAGACTTTGGGAATTTATTCTGGTGGTGATGGGAAGCATGTGCCAGGAATTGTATCTGGCTATAGAAACTCTTTTACAGCAATTTAATCAAGTAATGAATTTATCTTTTTTCGTGTAACAAGAAATCTAGGGATGGCTATCCAAAGATTGATGCAGCTGCTCAAGAAGCGATATCCCGTCTCCCTTCCTGTCTGGGCATCTTTGGCATGGCATAGAGAGTGTGCTCTAACTTTGGGTATTTGCTTTCCAGGTAGGAATAAAGGAGAACAGGATCAAAGGATACATATAGGCATCACACTCTTCCCTTTTCTCAAGAAAACAGTGACTTTCTTAGAATCCCTAGCCTGCTATTTCTCCTTATGTCTCATTGGTTAGAACTGGATCACATGGCCTCCCTAACTGCAAAGGAGTCTGGCAAATGTAGTTTGTAGCTTTGCACATTAGTTTCCCCAAGGAGCCAGAGTGGGAGTGGGGGAAAGGAGGGTTGACTTTGGCTAGGAAAGAGCTGGTTGAAAAATCAGGAAGGTTTTGAGCAGGGGATTGGCATTATATGATTGATGATTTAAAAGTGGCTGGGGTGCCTGGATGACTCATCAGTTAAGCATCCAACTCTTGATTTTGGCTTATGATCTCAGGGTTGTGAGATCAAGCCCCAAGTGGAGCCTGCATAAGATTCTCTCTCTCCCGGGGTGCCTGGTGGCTCAGTGGTTGAGCATCTGCCTTTGGCTCAGGTCATGATCCCAGAACCCTGGGGTTCTGGGATCAGTCCTCACATTGGGCTCCCTGCAGGGAGCCTGCTTCTCCCTCTGCCTATGTCTCCGCCTCTCTCTGTCTCACATGAATAAATACATAAAATCTTAAAAAAAAAAAAAAAAGGATTCTCTCCCTCCTGCCGCAGCCCCCTCCACAGCTTGCTCGCATGTATGTACACACACTCTCTTAAAAAAAAAAAAAAGGTAATCAGTGGCTGCTATGTGGAGCAAAGGGGACAGAAGTGACCTACAGATGCCAACTCAACAGGTAACTTGAGAGAGGGATGCTGATGGCGCCAGTGGAAGCTTGATTAGGACACATTCTGAAAGTGGAGACAGCAGGAGTAGCTGATGGATTACATGCCCCATGTGAGGGAAAGAGGAGTTAAGGATGACCCTCAGGACCTTGACTTACGGGGTTTTGTGAATGTTTTGCTATTTCCAGACTTGAGAAGGCTGGGGGAGAAGCAGGGTTAGGGATGGGAGATTAAGAATTCTGTTTTGGGGGGCAGCCCGGGTGACTCAGTGGTTTAGTGCCGCCTTCAATCCAGGGCCTGATCCTGGAGACCTGGGATTGAGTCCCATGTCAGGCTCCCTGCATGGAGCCTGCTTCTCCCTCTGCCTGTGTCTCTGCCTCTCTCTCTCTGTTTCTCATGAATAAATAAATAAAATATTTTTTAAAAAAAGAATTCTGTTTTGGTGTGCCTGGATGGCTCAGTAAGCAGGGAGCCTGCTTGTCTCCCTCTCTCTCTGCTCCTCCTCCTGCTCACCCGCACTCTCACACGTGCACTCACTCTCTCTCTCCCTCTCTCAAATAAATAAATCTTTAAAAAAAAAGAGTTCTGTTTTGGCTATGTTAGTTTTGAGATGCCTATTTGATGTTAAGGAAGAAATAGGATAAGATTCTGTACCTGATGGGAGAGATCAGGACTAGAGATATAAATCTGGAGGAGATATTAATGTGCACGTGAAGTACCATTAAAGCCATGGACTAGATGAGAATGAGTAAGGATAAGTATAGGCACAGAAGATGAGTGTAGACAAAAAGTGCTCTGGGACACTGCTATTTACAGGAGAATCTAGCAAAGAAGTCTGAAAAGGAATGTCCAGAGGGGTATGAGGCAAACTAGCCAAGTATAGCCTCATTTAAGCCAAGTGAGGACAGTGTTGCAAGAGAGGGAGTCATCCTTTGGTCAAATGCATCTGTGGATTCAGTGAGGTCAAGGAAGGTGAAGACAGAGTCGACCATCAGATATGATAAGGTGGAAGTCATTGATCGCTTTTAAAAAATACTTTTAACTTTAAACATAAATAGTTATGTCTGCACATATATGTAGTTTTGTAAAAATGGCTAAATATGATCATGTGCTTGCTTTCTTTTGGTGCAGTTTCTGTTTTTCCTTTTTGCTTGGCTCCCTGACCTCACCCTTGACCTCTCTGCTTCCCTCCCTATCACTTGAAGTTTTTGTTCCAGTGAAGAGTAAACTCCCAGCAAGGAGTCCATGATAACAACCTGGGGAGTGTCCTTCAATATTTTTCACCGCACATTTAAAAGATCTCATTCTCCATAGCTCTATATGCACATAGGTCTGTAACAGGTTACTAAAACATGACTATCCCAATTTCGGCTAAAGCTTGAAAGGTTGACAATAGATGTTAAGCAAGTTCCAGATTTTAGTCCTTTTCTATAGGACTTAGCATATAACCTGAAAATTATCCATGGAGAGTGTGCTGTTTGCTCAGCTTGATCAAGTGAGAACTGGGGCTTCAGAGAATGTGTTCCTTGGTATTGGGGTGTTAGAAACTATGGGCAGATGTGCTCCAAGGCAAGAGGGTAGAAAAAGAAAAGGATATATCAGGAATACAGAATACCCAGAATACAGGAGATTTTCCTAGGGACCTAAGTAGGGAGGGAGTTGACCTTGAGTCATTTTGGATTTTGCCTGTGAGAACCCCTGGAAGAGGTGAACCTTCCGAAGAAGTTGGACTATTGGATGTCTCGGCTGAGGGAGGACATTGCAAGCTTTAATCTGGAGGGAAGTCACCATAAGGAAGAAGCAAATTAGAGCCCTCATGTGCCAGGGTCCCCCAAAAGATCTCCAGTGGGATGCAAGGTAGCTTGGGGTGTCTGCTACTTCCAGAGGGCACCAGCGCTGGATTATATCTTACTGTTACCAGTGATTGATTAAAAAGTTATTATGGGAAGTGCTTGAGATTTCATCTAAGGGATTGGAAGAATTAATTAGTCTAAGGAGAGGGCTTAAGGGAGACAGCTATGAAAAGGAATAAAGTTGTTTGAATAAATAACCCTATCAAATTCAGTTCATTTGATGCACTAGTTGAACACATGCGTGCGCACACACACACAGAATATTCTGCAGGGTATTGTTTTACAAAAATGGGATCGAGTCCTAAGTATTATTCTTTTTTTAAAAAAAGATTTTATTTATTTATTCATGAGACACACACAGAGAGAGGCAGAGACACAGGCAGAGGGAGAAGCAGGCTCCATGCAGGGAGCCAGACGTGGGACTCGATCCGGGTCTCCAGGATCAGGCCCTGGGCTGAAGGCGGAGCTAAACCGCTGAGCCAGCCCGGCTGCCACCTAAGTATTATTCTATATTTTGTTTTCTTTTTTTGTGCTAGCTTTGGCAGCATATATACTAAAATTCTTTTCTTTTTCTTTTTTTTTTG